TCTCTGAGCGTCATTAAATAAGTATAGTAAAATTGGAGAAGTTGCCATCCTGTTTTTACTCTCCATGCTCAGTGAAGCCTATGTGCACTTCTATTCTTCTTTCTCATGCCAAATTACTCACGGGAGAAAAATTTTATGAAACCTTTTCGCTTTAGGCCTCCACTGCCGTGTGCAAAAAAAAAAAAAAAGGTTCAATCAATCAATTTCAACTTCTCACGGGAAAAAAAAGATCTTGCAAAGTTGGAATTGATTGATTGAACTTTTTAGTCCCACCCAGTCTGCTGTTACCACTGCAGCCACGCCCACCCAATGGACCACGCCCACCCAATGGGCCACACCCACCTGGTACCTGACGATGCATAAGTGGGTTTTGGGTTGCAGTTTGGGCACTCGGTCTCTAAAATATTCGCCATCACTGACCTATGGCTTTTAAAATCATTAATAATTATCTATAACCTTCTGTTGGGATCTTGTGTGATGTGTCTGCAGCTGAGTGGTCCCCATTGCTTCTTAATGTAGCATATCCTCCAGACTAAGTGAGGCAAGAAGGAAGGCTTCGCGGTGTGGTTTATGTGAACAGAGGGCACAAATAATGGGGCTGCTTTCCCCAAGATTACAGTCCTGATGCCATCCAAGCTATCAGTGCTGATACGAACACCAATCCGGTCTTCTCTCCTGGAATGTTATATGTTGGCATGCTACATAATGGGTTTGAGGGAAGAAAGATTATGAAGTAGACCAAACAGTTTTAACAGTTTCAGACAGCCATTTGTCTGAAATGGTATAGGGTTTCCTGCCTGAGCAGGGGGTTGGACTAGATGACCTCCAAGGTCCCTTCCAACTTTACTATTATTATTATTATTATAACATCTTCGGAGAATATGGCTCCAGCTATATAAGGCCTTTTACTGAGAGACTTAGTTTTCAGGGCCAGAGGCAGCCCTCTGCCTTTTAAAACAATACCTACCTACTTACTCCTTTGAGAGCCATCGGTTAATGTGCAACACTCTGAACTTTTGTTTCTGACCATTTGTGTTAAATTCCTAGTTGGAACAGATGTAGGATTTGCTCTGTACAGAAGATTTCTCTCCCCTTCAGCTGGGATTCAGGTAAGTGCGTATTTCCTGTTAAAAACTACCTTCGCTCTCTTAGCTTGCTGGTTTATTTTGCTGCCAGTTCTGATGAATAATTTGGCATTCTTTTATTTATTTTTTCTCTGCAAGCTTGCACCAAATACTTTTCCTTGCCCCTTTATCTGAATGTTGCATTTCCCCCCTCTATATCTTGTATTACGTTGACTTGTTCTCTCATCTTTTCCCTTTTCAGCACAAACTTCAAGATAATTAATTATATTTTTATGCTGTCCATCTCCTCTGTGAGGTGACTCTGGGTAACTTACGGGTAATAAAACAAATAAAATAATTAAAATATATTAAAATATTAAAACTATGCAGATTAAAGTTTTGAAGACTGAACAAAACCCAAAATTAAGAGAGGGACAGCATGGGGATGAGGTCTTCTTACCTGGTCAACCATCTCCAGCAGTGAGCATGCCCCTCAGGCTCCCAAGCCAACTGGTAAAGTCAAGTGTTAATACCCTTCCAGAACATCAAAAGGATAGGGCTAGTTCTCACCTCCAGTGGTAGAGTGTTCCATAGGGACAGGGCCACAGTGCAAAAGGTCCTTCTCCTTCAACCTGTCTGCCGGAGTTCCTTAGTAGATGAGATCCATAGCAGGCCTCTTCTGCTAGTGCAAGTAGAACAGGCTAGTTCCATTGGGGAAAGATGGCTCCATAAGTACCTCGGACCCATGACATACAGAGCTTTAAAGGTAACAACCAACACCTTGAATTGGATCTGTATGCACACTGGTAGCCAATGCGGCTTGCACAGTAATGAGGTTAGGACAGTGGCAGGATTCAGCCAGTTTGCACCAGTTCGGCAGAACCGGTAGCTAATTTTTTGTTGCCCAGGCCCAGAATGGACTTCCAGAAGCGGCATCCACACAGAGAACCAGTTGTTCACATGTTTGAATCCCACCACTGGGTTAGGATTAGAACTAATAAAGTCCATGCTAGCAACTCAGTACTAGAAATTCTAACTATGATTGACTTCTGGCGTTCTCTATGTATGAATAGAATCAGTAGAACCCTGCTAGATAATCCTATTCAGAGCTGCAGTTTGGGGATATGTTTTTAAGAGGTCCATTGACCTCTTTCAGTAAGGAAAGCAGTTAATTCATAGAGGCCCTGAATCAAGCGTTCGCCTCAAAATTAGATACACTTTCTGAGTAGGATGAGCGAGAGAGAGAGGTGGACTTCTTTGAGTACAATTGCTCACTAGGATTTATTTGGGAAACTTTCTCCTTATTTTCTGATTTCTTTTGTGGAATCTCCACTCTTTATCCCTGTTTGATTAAGGGAGAGTCTATTACTTGGGAGCTGTCCTTGTAAATCCCTTTGCAGCTGTCCTTGTTCTTGCTTTGTAGTGCTGGAAGCACCAAAATCCTGCCTATTTGCAAATATTTCTGTTTTGGTTTTCACTAATGCTGCAACAATCTTTGTGTTGTCCTTTGGCTGTTTGCACCAAAGGCTGACACTCCAAGCATAAATACAGTCATTAAAATTATATATATATGTATATGTGTGTCTTTTTCCCCCTAAGGTTTCCTTTGTGGCCCACATTGCAGGCGGCCTTGCTGGAATGTCAGTAGGTTATGTCATATTCAGCAATTTTGATAAAAATTTCATTAAAGATCCTAAATTCTGGGTTTGTATAAGTGTATTTTTAATATTTGTGATACTTGCTGTATTGTTCAATGTGTTCTTCTCACCAGCAAACCAGTAGAACGCAACATTCAATAACTGTATAATTTTGAAGGAGAATTTTAAAAAATCTTTGAAAAATATGTTTTGTTTTCATATTTTTGTAGTATCATATTTCGTGTGACAATATATTTTAATGCAAAGCAGCAATGCTTTTTAATTGCTGAATTGTTTCAACTTTCAGAGTCGTTATGATTTTATGGACATTCTTTTGCTAGAAGTTTTGGTCAGTAGCGGGTCTGAGTTTTTAGCTAAAACCTCAGCGTCAGTATCTGGCTACCAGGTCTTCTGTCGCCTTCCCTTATGACTTGATTTTTCTAAGCATTGAGGGGCTGCTCCAGTGACTCTTGCCTTTGAAGGATATATGGCAAATTATTTGCAGTGCTGTGCCATAGTTTCATTTGTACAAAAACTTGCCAATAATTGACAAGCTGATCGTGTGTGGATGGCCTGCCCTGAGAAAGGTGAAAGCTTGCTGGTGTCCAAGATGCTTTAGAAGAGACCTCTTCAGATCATCAGCTTGCACTTCCTCCAGCATTATTTCATGCCTCACAAATGGGAATAGACTGGTTTGAGTGGACACATGTATCCATTTTGAAAGGAGGCTAGCACATATTTCATCAAGGGATGTTTCAGGCTGGGATATAGACCTGAAATAGCAGACTGCACTTGTAGATGAAGGATGGGGGTAGCATGTCTATCTTTGCTCTCAGGGGACTTAGGTATTACTGTCTTCTTCTGAACATGTATGTGTTACATGCAGAATGTTCTGCTGATTCTCCTCCCATCTCTGGAATTGGTTGCAATCAGTCTTGATGGGCAGATAGGATGGAGTGGAAGCTTTGCACAACTTCATTTTTACACCAGTTGTTCCCTTTCCTGGGTGAAGAGGTACATGGCTACTAATGCTTCGATCATCTCTCAGATGGATTATTGCAATGCACTTTACACGGTGCTGCCCTTGAAGAACCTCCACAAGGTTCACTTGATCCAGAATACAAAAGCAGAAGCAATTATGTTTCATTATATCCATATTATACCTTTGCTCTGCAATCTGCACGGCTCCCAATTTGCTTCCAGGCGCAACTACAGGTGCTAGTTATTACCTATACAGTCTTACATGACACAGGGACAGTGTGTTTGAAGGATGGCCTTATCCCTGTGTTTGTTAGCCATAGCATTATGTCAGGCAGAAGGGGCCCGCTCCAGGCCGTTAATCGTCGCTTGTTATATTGCAATCTCCCAGAAAGCAACCTTTTTCCCTACCTGTGCCTGCCCATTGACCCAGAGTTTAGCTGCTCCTGACTCTGTTACCTCTCAGAAAGTCATGAACACCTGTTTTCCTAGGCATGGTTGGTGAACAGCGTTTTCTGAAATCATTTTGTTTTAGTTGGCTGATTACATACATACATACATATATACACATACATACATATACATACATATGTACATATTAATAATGTCAGTGAAAACACAATTCCTGGGTATATCACATACATAAAAACAATTTATATTGCATTTCTAAATCTTTGTTAGCGGCCCAGAATCAAGATGGGTGGCCCTATGAATCCATCTAAAGAAATAAAATTAAATATTTAAATAACAATGTGTGGTGGTGCTCCTTTGGTACGAAAAGAGACAAACTCGCCCAAGCTCCCTTTTTAAACCGGGATGCAATGAAAGAAGGAAAGTGCTTCTGCCTCTCATAGCTACCTCCCAGACGTGCTGGATTGCCACTCCCAAAATTCCCAAAAGCAGCACGTTTTGGAGAAGCAACTTTACTCCAGGTTACCCCTTAAACCAGGGGTAGGCAACCTTGGCTCTTTTATGACTCGTGGACTTCAACTCCCAGAATTCCTGAGCCAGCACAGCTGGCTCAGGAATTCTGGGAGTTGAAGTCCACGAGTCATAAAGGAGCCCAGGTTGCCTACCCCTGCCTTCAGCGGAAAGACATTTGGAAATGTTCGGTATTCCCTCCCACGGGCTCTCAAGGCCCCCGCGCCCCTTCTTCCAGTCCGAAGCGCAGGGAGGAGAGTTCCAACTTTCGCAGCAAGCAAACGTCCTCCTCCTCCTTGCGGGGACAGCGGGAGGCCCCGCCCCTTCCCCCAAGGAGAAGACGGAGGGGGGGAGGACGGCGCCGGAAGAGGAGGGGCGCGAGGGGGCGGGGCCCGCCGGTGTCTATGGCGACGCGCGGACGCCGCGACGCGCTCAAGAGGCGGGCGGCGGCGCACGCCTCTTCCCGTTTCCTGCGCGGGAGGCCCGAGAGCAGCCGCCGGAGGAGCAGCAGCAGCAGCAGCAGCAGCGGGAAGACCCGAAGGCGCCCATGGCCAGCTACAAGGTGAGCAGCGCCGCCGGGGCCGGGCTGGGGGACTGGGGGGAGGAGCCGTGCTGACTCCCTCCCTCCTTCCTTCCTTCCCTGCGGTGTAGGCCGCCGACTCCAAGCGGGAGCAGTTCCGGCGCTACCTGGAGAAGTCCGGCGTGATGGACACCCTGACCAAAGGTAAGGCGGCTCGGCGCGGAGGGGCCGGGCGGGGTGCCGCTCGGTTCCGCCCGCCGGGTCGCCAGCGCCGCTTCCGCTTTCTCGCCCTGCAGTGCTGGTGGCGCTCTACGAGGAGCCCGAGAAGCCCAGCTGCGCCCTCGAGTATCCTGCCAGGCGGGGCGGGGCGGGGTGGGGTGGGGGTGGGGGGGTTCAGGCAGGGCCGGGAGGCGCGACGGCCCTTAACTCCTCCGGCCTCGAAGCTTCCTGAAGCACCACCTGGGAGCCGCGGCGCCCGAGAACCCCGAGGTGGAAGCCCTCCGGCTGGAGGTGGCCGAGATGAAGGAGAAGTACGAAGCCCTCCTGGAAGAAAACCGGAAGCTGAAAGCCAAGGTAAGGCGGCCCCGGCCGTTCCTCGGGGAGAAGCCGAGGGCAGGGCGGCTCCTGGGGAAAGAAAAACTAACCGCCTCGCCCTCCTTTTCAGCTGGCCCAGTACGAACCGCCGCAGGAAGAGAAGCGGGGAGAATGAGCCTTGTACCTGCTTCAATAAAAGATCTGGAAAGTCTCTCGTCTTGCAGCTTCTTCCTCTGGTGGGGCCCACCTTGTTTTACTTGGAGGGTGGGTCAGGCCGGCCCCTCTCCGTGCAATCTGAGCGACTTGTTCTGCTAGCATTTGAGCTGAACAAATGGCGGTTACAGCCGGTCTTTGCCGTTCTGGCCACCCCAGCACACCTGTGGTTACAATTTGGGCACTTGGCAACAGGTCCACACTTAGAACTGATTGTAGTGCTCCACCATAGCAGCTTCCCCATTTGCAACCTTCCCTGCCAGCTTCCCCTAACTTGCCTGTGTCACCTGTGCCTCCCTGGCCAGTCTGCATTTGGGATGGTGCTTCCTGACCAGTTTTGGTCCCCCCCCCATGCACCCTTCCTACCCTACACCCTCCCCAATTCACACTGTACCTTTTGTGTACCTTTCCTGATCTGCACCCCCTAGTTCCCTCCCCCGACAGGCAGCAACCATTTACCTGCCTGCTGTCCTCGGACGTGCAAATTTCTGCCAGCTTTTCCACTAACTATGATTGTGGGAAGCCAGGGGGAAGTAGCCGTACCTAATGTGGGATTCAGTTAATGATGGTATCTTGGGCTACAGAGATTCCCATTGCTAAGGGACACGTTCATAAATGCACAAGCGCATCACTCAGTGATAATGTCCGAATTGCCACTAAATTGAGGATTACTTGTATTTCTAGGTATCAAAGGTTCACACCTTCCCCCATAGAAATATGTTCATGTTTCTTTCATTGTAAAGTTATAGATCAGTGAAAATGTTGTACTAACGTATTCTGGAATAATTGCTAATATTACAGAATTAAGCTGCCATTTACTAGGAAAAAAGATGGAACGTACCTAGGATTGGGCGGAAGAGTGGATAAAATAAGGCTGTAAAAGTTAGCATCACTTCAGGTTTAGAAGTAATAAAGGATTTGGGTAATAAAGGAAAATTAATAAAAGGCTGTAAAGTAAGATAAACTTTTCTAACCAGGTAAATCAACCAAAAAATTATAGAAGTAATAGAAATCTAATATCAAGATCCTTTTTACAATTACAAATGTAAAAAGTAGTCTATAGAATTAACTACGTTTATACGTCTATTGGATAAATAGTGTTATTAGACTCGGTTTAAAACCGTATTATAATCCGGTCTTCCCGTCCCCGCGCCGGACTCTGGCGGGCGCCGAGGGCGAAGCATCCAAGGGCCGGAGGGGGCTCGGCCGGGCTGGCTGTCCTGTCACCGCCAGGCCGGAGGGGGCGCCCGCGACATCGCAGGCAAGGAAGCCGCCCGGCGGCGGGGAGGCGGGCCCGAGGGGAGGGGTCACGTGACTTTTCCCACCGCGGCGCCGTCCAATCGGCCGCGCGTCCGCCTCGGGCCGGGCTCGCCATGGCCGCCATGCCGTTCGGGGCCGCCGAGGAGCCGGCGCAGCTGCTGTCCGGCGCGGCCTTGCCCGCGGATAGCCTGGGCGCGGCCGACGCCTTCCCCAAGGACTTCGGGTACGGCGCCGACGAGGACGAGCTGGCGGGCGAGGACGACGGGGCCGAGCTGGCGGGCGGCGGCGGCGGCATCGCGGGGCCCGGCGGCGGCGGCGGCGACTCCTCCAAGCAGCCGCGCATCCTGCTGATGGGGCTGCGGCGCAGCGGGAAGTCCTCGATCCAGAAGGTGCGCGGCGGCCTGGCCCGGGCGGGCGGGCGGGCGGGGGGCTCTGCGTGGGGGGGGTTGGCGGGGCTCCCCGGGGGCGGCGGGGCTTCTCCCCCCCCCACTCCTCCCCTCTTCCCCCGGGCGTGCCCCGCCTGAGCCGCGCGCCCTGTGCCGGCAGGTGGTCTTCCACAAGATGTCCCCCAACGAGACGCTCTTCCTGGAGAGCACCACCAAGATCCACAAGGACGACGTCTCCGCCAGCTCCTTCGTCAACTTCCAGATCTGGGACTTCCCCGGCCAGATGGACTTCTTCGACCCCGCCTTCGACTACGAGATGATCTTCCGCGGCACCGGCGCCCTCATCTACGTCATCGACGCCCAGGTGGGGGGGAGGGGGAGGGGAGGGCCAAGTGGGGGGGCTGCAGGCGGAGGGGCAGCCCAGCCCCCCCCCAGGCCTCTGGGCTGGGACGACATAAAGCGCTCAGCTGGGCGGAGGATGCAGCCGGCGCTTCCGGCTCTTTCCTGGGCTTCCCTCCCAGCTGCTTCCTTCCTTCCTCCTGGCAGCGCTGCTGGGCCTCGTCCGCTTGGCCTCGGAGGGCCCCAGGAAGGCCCCCAGTCGGAGCCGCTCTTGGGAGGTGGGCTAAACCTGGCCCAGCCGCCTCGCAAGTGTTCATGGGGCTGGTGAATGAAACTCACCCGGCAAAAACGGGCCTTCCGTTTGTTTTGCAGGACGACTACATGGAGGCGTTAACCAGGCTCCATATCACTGTTTCCAAAGCTTACAAAATCAATCCAGAAATGAACTTTGAAGTTTTTATTCATAAAGTGGATGGCTTATCGGACGACCATAAGATTGAAACGCAGAGAGACATCCATCAGAGAGCGAACGATGATCTGGCTGATGCTGGCTTAGAGAAGCTGCATCTTAGGCAAGTGACATTTCTGTAGCTTCTTACATGCTGTTGAATGGCGGTTACCAGTTGCAAGTTGGGATGTGGTGAGGAGCAGCGGAAGCCTTGGGAGGGTCAGGGCAGGCAGGCCTGGGGTCCTGCTCCGCTTCCAAGCCCCCCCCCCGAGGCACCCCATGCTCCACTTAATGACCTGCACCCTTCTTTCATGAGTCAGCACCAATTTTGGGGTGGGGAAGGGAACAGCCAAAGCCCAGAATATACTTTTTCTGAATCTGAAATGCTGTCACGGTTAGCCATTCTACTTTTTCTGGGAAATTATATCAGTGGTGGGATTATTTTGGCCAAAGAGCAGGTAATAGGCGAAAGCACTCAGGTAACTAATGAGAGTTCTTTTCTTTTTAGCTTTTATTTGACCAGCATCTACGATCACTCAATATTTGAGGCCTTCAGTAAGGTGGTGCAGAAGCTCATTCCACAGTTGCCCACTTTGGAAAACTTGCTGAATATCTTTATATCAGTGAGTAGCAGTGAATTACTCCACATGTCTGCAGGGCAAATCATGTCGTTAAAGTTAACAAATGAGGGATTTCCGTTTAGGGGATGGTGAAACTGACACCCAGAGATCTTGGGAAGAACTTCTGCCTCCAAAGCAGAGGTGGGTTGGAGATTGCTCAATCGTGCTGAGCTTAAACAGATGATTTGGTTTATAGTAGACATTTTAAACGAATAATCTTTGTATGTTGAAAATTTGGACTGGACACTAGTAAAATTATTAAAATAGGTGGTGTGATCAATACTTGCTTTATATTAAGTGGGTACTTTACCTCCTTGGTTTATACAATAAAGTATTGCAAAATAAACAAAAGGAAATAGATCGTGGGACAAATGTGGGTATTTGGGAGATGTAATCTTAACGTAAACCTGTCTTTTCATTTCCTGAAGAACTCGGGGATTGAGAAAGCTTTTCTTTTTGACGTTGTCAGCAAGATCTATATTGCAACCGACAGCTCCCCTGTTGACATGCAGTCCTACGAGCTGTGTTGTGACATGATTGACGTTGTCATTGACGTTTCTTGCATATATGGGTAAGCAAATCCTTTAGAAGTACGGAACAACCATCTCGAAAGAAGCTAGTGACTTCTAGCTTCAGGGATATTTTGGGAAATGCAAGATAATCTTGAAATAGTGAAGATTTTAGTTTAAAAGGTGGGGGAGGCTGTGCCACCTTGCTTATTGTTGGCATAATTTTGCCAACAAAACTTTGTCCAGGATTCTGAGCGAGCGTCCTTATAAACCCTGGTATGCCTCACATCATGATCACAGGACAGGTATTTGCATCAAAATAGGATTGCTGCCCAGAGTCACCTAATTGATGAGATGGGCAACATGTAAATTTAATGAATAAATAAAAATAATAAAGATCATCAATATTGCAGTAAGCTGACTTTATATATTAATATAAGGATGATGTCAGAATCCAATTATATTTCATCTTTAATTATCAAATATAGAAACTCCCAATTCTGCCATCTTTGGATTCTGCCATAAGAGGGAGAGAAGGGGGAGAACAAAGGGGCTTTATGGCCCTCACTTCCTTCAGTACACTTCAAAGAGCTGAATGCTGAATGTGTGTTTATTGTAACCTCGAAGCGTTAGCATACCAAAGGAGGGTATTTGCCTTTCATGTAGTTATCTGAAGTCTCCATCCAGACGGAAGAAAGAAGAAAGGGGGTGGAATTGTGATACTTGAAACTATCACTGGAAGGGGGGTTGATTGGGTGGGACTACTGGGGAACCCCTTAAAACCTTGAATGGAAGAGCTTGAACCCCAAGTCCTGTCTAGCATGCCTGCAACCATTTTCTCTTAATAAAGGATTCCTGTTGGAAGAATTATTCCAAGAGTTCTGTCTTCTTAAGATGCAAAGATATATATATATATATTATATATATATATATATATATATATATATATATATATATATATATATATATATATATATATATATGATGCAAAGCATAAATATATTCGTAGATCAACCAAGCTGAAAAGCAGCTATACATTTCTGAAGTTGTCGTAAAGTGTAAAAATTTTAAATTTGTTCTAAAGTCCTGTTCAGTTGCCTAAATATAAATGAGACATCTGAGCTGCCTCGAATTTAAGTGCTCAGTCTAAATCTCAGATACGCTGAACAGTCTTTTCTCCTTCAACCAACTCTAGGTTAAAAGAAGACGGCAGCGGTAGCGCATACGACGAAGAATCTATGGCAATTATTAAACTCAACAACACAACTGTTTTATATTTAAAAGAAGTGACAAAATTTCTAGCCTTGGTGTGTATCCTTCGAGAGGAAAGCTTTGAACGCAAAGGTAAGAAAAGAGCTTCATTTTGTTCAGTCAACCAATCAATCTTTATTACCGTGGATCAGCAGCACAAACAGCAGCTTCTACAATCCCCAGTGATAACCTTTGAGCTCAGAAAAGGGCCGATACGTTTCAGTCTGCAAAGCTCCCATATCTCATGCCTCTCGTTTTCTGAGATTTTCCCAACTGGCGTCTCCCCTTCCCTTTCGTCCCAATCCCTTTTTTTTATCTTTGCAGGCTTAATAGACTACAATTTCCACTGCTTCCGCAAGGCCATCCACGAGGTCTTTGAAGTGGGCGTCTCCTCGCATCGCCCCTGCGGCCATCAAGCAAGCATTCCCGGTCTGAAAGCAGTGGCTCACAATGGCGCCCCGAAGGAGGACTGAGTCGGGATGAGCTGGTGCTTGCTTGCTCACCCTGCGCCTGGATCGGGCAGGAGCAGCAGCACGGAGGGAGGGAGGGCTGCCCGACTCCAGCCGTTCATTTTGGAGCCAGAGGAGTCTGCCTTGTGGACTGGTCCTCAGCGTCCATACAGACACCCGGAGTGACTGCGAGGAAGCCAAGATTCGGAGTGGCGGCTTTCGCTGTCATTTGGCAGGCAGGCAGGCAGGCAGGCAGGCAGGCAGCCTCTCCTCCAGGTGGGAACTTCCTTGTTTGTCTCAGGATTCAGCAGCCGGCGATGTGCTGGAGGGGCTCTGAAACTCAGGCATATTCCATAATTTATTTGAGTACACACTCAACACATTCCACGTGACTTATCACACGGTTTTGTGGTAATACCTGAAAAAAGTAATATATCCTTAACAAACCCATTGAATGAAAGCGCTTATCTGCTTTTCTAGCTCTAATTGTCGTCAGAATTCTTTGAAATATCTTGGGCTCTTCTCAAGCCTTTGACTCAGTTCCTGCACGCATCGTTACACTGATTTTTGAAGCATCTACGGGCAGCGCTAGCTCCCTCGGCTAGGGAACGGAGATGAAGATCATCCGCTAGAGTGGGACAGGACTGATCAGGAGAAAGCTTTACCCTCTCCCCAAGTGATTCCCTTCCACCCCGCCATGGCTAGTATGGTTAGCATTCGTTCGATATTTCATTCTTGAACCTGCATGATCGCATAAAGGGTCGTTTTATTTTTTAAAAAAATAAGTTCTGCTTTGACAAAAATGGAACAGGATAGGTTTTGATTGCTGGAATTTGCAAACAATTTTGCTCATTTTTAACAACATGTGAAACTTCCTTCCATAGGAACACTTTCCATGTGATGAAATGTTTTCTGTGAATCTTCCTGTAGGTCATCTGTATTTTGGCATGGAAATGCCATTTTCTTAATGATGACAGCTGTTCCAGCGCCTCAGACTCCGTTCTTTACTCAAAATATCAATTTGACTTTGTTAAAGACTTAACAGATGCTTTAATACTCTTCACAGGTGATTGTATTCTGCCAGGGGGGGTCATGTCCATAGCTGATATGTTCCCAGACTACATTAATAAAATATCTTTATCTCAGCAAGTGTTTCTCTTCTGAATTAAATACAAGGAAATACAGGCTTTACTGTCCTGTGGGAAGTTGTAAACTCACAGGCATTATAATAATGTGGCTGCAGTTCAGTTGCTAATTAATACCTTGCAGAAATTAGGCCGCCTGCTTTATTGTGTTTTCTTTCAACTTGTAAGCAAAACCAACTAGCTGTTTTTGCCAAACAGTACTTTGTATTTTCTTGTGACAGTTTTTTAGACATTACATTGGAATACCTTCTTTGGTAGAAATTTCAGCTTCCAAATATTTTGCTGTGTGCATACTTTTGCACCAGTTATATTTTTCTTATTTTGAACCTAAACACTTCAGAGGGTAAGTATATAATCACCTTTGCAGAAAAATGTATAAGGAATACTTACAGAATTAGCAGCCTGCAATTGATATGGAGGTAAAGCCATGTTGACTCAAATGATTTGCACCAAAGTATGGGTTTTACTTCGAACATATAGAAACTTTTATTTTACAGGGCAATGAATTAAGGTGATTTGATCACCAGTAACATATTTGAATATACTGTATGTGTGGCAAATCTTCAGTGAATATACACAACCCAATACATACATCAGATGTTAAAACTGTTACAATGTGGAGCAGTTTCTCCACATTTTTCAGAAGGAGATATTTCAATAGCTACATAATAGAGATGCTGAAATTGAATCTACATAGCAGTGGAGTGGATTATTTTGATTGGTTGATTTATCATAGTTATGCACTGCCCATCTCGCTGTATAAGTGATTCTGAGCAGTTTGCAAGCAAAAAAGACCATTAAAATCCTTACAAAAACATGCAAACTGAAAAAGACAGACACAGTATCCTCAAACCACCAACCATCCCCATGTCTGTGAGAGTAGAAGCCAACCTCACCTCCAGGAATGGTCCATAGGGTGGTGGAAACAGCAAAACAGGCTCTCCTAGACCCCCAAGTCAAAATTCTTTAACCAATGGGACTGGGGCTGCCAAAGCACCAGAGGGCAGGACAAGAAACAATGGTTGGAAACTGACCAAATAGAAGCAACCTGGAATTAAGGAGAAACTTCCTGACAGGACAATTAACCAGTGGAACAGCTTGCCCCTAGAAATCGTGGGCAGTCCCATCACTGGAGAGTTTTAAGAAGAGACTAAACAGTCACTTGTCCAAGATAATATAAGTTCTCCTGCTTGAGAGGGGGCTGGACTAGAAGACCTCCAAGGTCCCTTCTAACTGTTATTCTGAGTTTCCTATGTACGGCATCTTGGTAGTTTATCCAGTTTCAAGAAACACATGCTTCATTCAAAAAAAGCACAAATCAGCGCAAAGGCACTATCTGGAAAATAAATCCAGGCATTACAGTTTGAGAATCATTTAATACTATGTATATTTTTCATTCTACTCGTACAGGAGCAAGTTGCAATAAATACCTCTATACGTCACAAGATGGCAGTAGAGCTCCACAAAAAGTTTAGTTTGACAACTCTTTGGCTAAACATTTATTTCAAGCGAGGAATAAATTGATTTAGAATACAGAATAACCCCAGAGTTGGAAGGGACTTTGAACGTCTTCTAGTCCAACTCCTTGTTCAAGCAGGAGCCCTTATGCCATTGCAGACAAATGGTTGTCCAATCTCTTCTTGAAAGCCTACAGTGATGGGTCTTCTGTCACCAATGTTTGCTTTTTTTTCTAGAGGAAGTTTGGTCTACTTTTTTCCTTGTCCCTGGTACACCTAATAATGTTCCTTGTCCAGGTGTCTGCATGCTTTCTTCCAAGGAGAGCTTATAAAATGGATTATTTCCCTCCAGTGGGCCTGGACTGGACTTGGTTAGCTTTCCTTCCTTCCTTCCTTCCTTCCTTCCTTCCTTCCTTCCTTCCTTCCTTCCTTCCTTCCTTCCTTCCTTCCTTCCTTTCTTTCTTCTTTCTTCCTCTGCATTTTTGCCTATAACTGGCATCCTCTTTCTCCCAAGCAATGGATTTCTCTTTATTTCACAGATACAGTCATGAAGGTTTGTGCCAAGGCAGAGGGAACCTGTTACTGCTCAGCTTCTCCACCTATTTGCATGAACTGCCTGATGATATAATCTAAACTTTTTCAATACGGAGCATCAGAATAGATTTTTTTCTGTTTAGAACAATTCTTCAACCTTCAATAAGAGATTCTTTCAGTTCTTTACTTCCAGACATCAAGATGGTATCAGTTGCACCAAAGTTTTTTACCTTTTTTCCTAACAATTTTAATTCTAGTTCCTGTTTGTTCTAGACCAGTATTTCTTATTATATAACTTCTTCATGTAAGTTAAACCAATTCACCAGTGGAACAGCTTGCCTCCAGAAATCATGGGCACTCCATCAATGGATATTTTTAAGAAGAGGCCAGACAGTCACTTGTCTGAGATGGTATAGGTTCTCCTGCTTGTGCAGGGGGCTGGACTAGAAGACCTCCAAGGTCCCTTCCAGCTTCTATTCTATTCTATTCTATTCTATTCTATTCTATTCTATTCTATTCTATTCTATTCTATTCTATTCTATTCTATTCTATTCTATTCCAACAAGATAATAGTATGCAATCATGGCACATTCTCAGCATGTAATCTTTGAGGTCCATATTTTGTCTTCTTGCTTTCTGGTCATTGGAAATATACAAATGCTTCAGCTGACAGATATAATGTAGCAGCAATCTTGAGATATCTAAATGAATGTCAGAAAAAGTTGTCCTGATGTCTATCATTGTAGAAGGCAAGGCGTGGAATAATGGCTGTGTTACATCAAGGCATGTTGCTGAAGGTTATCCATTATTTTTTTCTCAGAGTAAGAGCTGTTCAGCTGTGGATCCCAGAGATGGGTGGGAGGTGGGGGATGATGGGCTCCCTTCATGATACGTGGTCGAACAGAACCTGGACAGCAATCTGTTGGGAGGCAGGGAGCTGGATACAGGGGGCTCTGAGGACTTTTTAAATTTTAAGGATAATCCTATAATAAATAAGGGGGAACCTACTATACACCGATTTCTGCCCATAATCTAGAGTTAAATGGTTTGTTAAATGATGGAGGCATATATTTGTTTCAAAATACTTTCTTGGAAACATCCCAAAAAATAAGGGGTAATGTCACACATTACAGTACCATGTGAAAAAAAAATGATCAGATTCCCAAATCTCCCATTTCATATGTCCCCAGATATTTTTGCATGGGATTCAGTAGAATGAAATAAATAAGGATGGCAAACTGATTGAATAGCTGTAGAATTCTCTGCTTTGCAGAAATTATTTTCATCTCTTCTGATGACAAAATGATTACACAGCATATAACAGAAGTTTTGGAAGCGCTTAATTTTAAAATTTGGAAGTCTTTCTTTATTAAAATCACGAAGAGAGTAAATGTGATCCTGTTCTGCTTTTGAGGAGTTAACCTACTGATGGACAGACAGACAGATTTGCCATCCCTTTGCATAATTTATTTCCTGCATTCTTATTGTACTGGAAAGAATAAAAAATGATGTCTTATTCAAATGAGAATAGCAAATACGTATGTCATTTTGGCAAAATAGAAACCAAAAGCAAGCTACCAATAAAATTGCACTGAAAGGAATTTGAGGAGCATATGACAAGAATATTAAGGGAAAAGATGAAGAAGTATCTGCTGACCCAAAGGTGCTTTTTTCCAAAAGGCAACGGGACTTTCTTGTTTATTTGTTTGGAGCTATATTTAGGAATTCTCTGCTCATCTAGTTCCGTAAGTGATAGAAATGTTTTGTAATAAACCCCCCTCCACCGTTTTGGTCTACAAAATGGAAAACTATACTTGACAGAACCTAGCTGATCTCAAACAGCAATTCCCTGAGAGGGAATTGCTGGCTGCAGATTTGGCTGGGAAGTAGAAAGGATCTCAGGGCAGAAATGGCGGCAGATCTGTCCATCTGGTTGCCATAGCAACTGTACAACTAACACTAGACAAGGACCTGGGATCTGCAGACAAAATGGTTAACTATCTTAGTTGAATGTATTTGAAGAGTGGACAGGAAGAGAGGCAGAGACCAGGAGGGGGCTGGGAGGGGGCCAAGAAATTACAGATAGAATCCAAGATGGGTGGGAAGCCAAGTTTGCTGGACCTGAGTAGAGAACACAGAGGAACTGTTGGTGAGGCAAGCTAAAATCAGTTTTTTTTTTCTCCACAAATAATCCGCCCTGCTCTGCAGTACCTGCTTTCATGCAGCCTCAGAGTTTATCTATTTTTTTTTCCAGTATTCATGCTGCTGCTTCTTGTTGGGAGATCCTAGTGAGGTCCAGCAGCTGGAATGTAGACCATTTAGCCATGATAAGGTCATGTTGCCCAGGTGCACCAGGTGGACTTTAGTCTACATTGCATGCCAGCATTGGGCAACTTCTAACTCAGATCTGTTTAATTTAGTGTTTGATCCCCTATAACATCCCTTCGGCTTTGATTTCCCAAGGAAAATTTGGACAGCACTCCGCTGGATTTGTAGTAGCCATTGCGCCAGTACTGGAAATATAAATGGGGGCTGGTTGATAATCCTGACAATGATTGTGGGAACATCCTGCAAACTTTACATCACATTGTGATAGAATTCCTCTTGAGAAACTTCCCTGGATTCCTGCATGAATTCCATGATCTCAAGGGCAGTGCTGTCCAGTGGCTAAACAATTCAGATATCCGGCCATAGGTTTAGCCACCTCTGTAACTGCTGATACATAATTTAATTTCATACAGAGTTTTATTCATCACTATGTGTTTTTAAAATAATTCCCTGTTCTGATGTTTTATATTTCGACAGACATTTTATATGCTGTTTTTGGGAATGTTTTATGCATTAATGCTGTATTCTGTTATGCTGTACGAAATATAGATAGAGAATTTTTAGAGAGGAGTCTAGTTAGAGAGATGACATTTGCCCTACACTTACAAAGGAGGGGGACTTTGCCCTTGGCTTCCGTGGATGGGAGAGCACAATTCCAATTAGCCCAACTTCTGTAGGCTCAGCA